GTTGTTTCGAGTTGGATGGCAGCGACGGTGCGAGCCGCACGTACGCGTCCGCTCCCCGGATGGTGTCGGCCTCGGCGTACAACCGGCTGCTACTGGCGTGCACGTGCATAGCGCGTACGTAGCGGCCCCAGTTGACCACGTCGTAGCCCAGTTGGCGCAACCGGTGAGCCGCATGCGAGTCGGAGCGCGGGTAGCCCAGCGGTACTGCCATGTCGACAGCAGAAATCGGTGCACGGAACACCCAAGCGTCCTGTGAATCAACGCGCGGGTACAAGAGAACACTGTTGCTGGCTTCTCGCTCCCATCGCGACGACCTAATCTCTCATGAGATGTGTAAATGAGGTGTATTCCTAACCTCCGTGCGCCGTCGTCCGCTGCAGTATCGCCACGGACGCATCAAAGTCCACATCGGCGTTGGCCAGCAGCCAGACGACACTGCTGTCGTCCTGTGCGTTGGCATGGGCAAACGCACCTTGAAACGATAGCCGAGCACATACATGCGCAGCTTGGTTGTTGGGGTCACCGATGCAAGTAGACGGTCGGTCTCGACCTCGTGCCCGACGCGGATATGGACGGCTGCCAAAGCAGGATTGTGCAGATTCCAGTGTAAAATGGCAACTCGGCCTGGCGCGCCGGCGAAGACGCCGAAAAGTACTGCACGACGAGATAAACCGATTCGAATTGTGGTGGCTCGACGGGTGTGCACCGACGAACGTGGTCCAAGACGCCGCCGAGCGTCTAGTTGTTGATGGCTGTGATGCGAGCTATACCATAGCGATCTGCCACGTACGTGGCCCACGGCGATCGCCGTCACATTCATACTGCGCTCGCAGGCCGCTGTGGCGTCAGCCAACGCGCCCAGTGTCGAGTTGGGTGCAAAATGCACGCCGTACTTCTCGCAGAGCAGTCGTTGGGTGCAGTCGGCAACGGGCGTCGGCATCGTGTCCAGCAAGAGCACATGTACCAGCGCTTGTATCCCCAGCATGGACGGCACTTGGGCAACATGATTGCGGAAGCCCAGCCGTTGCCAGAAGAGGGAGACAACGTCGTGCCACGCCCGCCGCTTTAACACCGCGGTACCATAGTTGTAGAGACCGAGCGCGTACTCGGGGGCCAAGGCAACAGCCGATGCGTACGTCTGCAGTGCCGCATCGACTTGCCCCATACGCTCGTCGACAGCCTACCGGTATGAGTGAGCCGTCGCATCCGTCGTACGGCCAAGTTGTTGAGCGCGTGGACGTTGCGTGGATGACAATCGCATGCAGCAGGTGGCGCCGGGCGGCGTCGTCGCGCCCAAGATGCAAGTGACGTGAGGGAGGATGGTATACTTCGCTGCACCTCGTAGTAGAAGGCACCGGCGTTGGTATGCGTAGTCCCGTCTTGCGGCGACAGCAAGAGCGCAATGCAGTTGAGAGCTACCGCCTCCTGCAGGCGACCCTGTGCGTGCGCGTGTACGATCGCGGTCCGAAGCTGTCCGAGTTCGGGGAAGCTGGCTTGTGCCACTCGCATCGTCGTCGTTGCCGTCGCCAGGTCATGGGTCGCTGTAATCGCTGGTGTACATTTCGGGTCCATTGCCAACACTCGGGTATTCGCGTCGATGGCCTCGCGCTTGAAGCCATTGGCGGCTAGAATCGCGCCCCCAGAGACGGCGCGCATGGTGTTGTAGCAAGGTGCGAATAGAGCTCTTTGAGCTGAACAAACGTCGACGCCGCCCCTCCGAGCTGCTGCTCGACACTCGCCGCGGCCTAGCCACGCGTATGCGTGTATACACGCACATGCAAGAGTACGTACGTTCATCGCGTCATTGCATAGTGACAGCGTGGTATGGCAGCGCTGGCGCATGCGGCCACGTGCCAGCCGCCCGTTGCGCGCACGGCTGCTTCCATGGCCTGGTATCCCGACGCTGGCAGGTCGAATGTGACCCACACGCGCCCACGCACAAAGAGCTGACCCACGCCGTGCGCCGAGTTCTCGTCGATGCATGTGGTCGCTGCATCAGCGCGGTTGCTTGGTATGCGGACCACAGGTCGCCGCGCGCCATCGCCATTGTGGCTTGCAGCATCGCCGCCGCATCGCGCCGCGCAGGCGCATGTGGCAGTACGTGGCTGCCGGTCGCAAGGAGAAAGGAATTGGCCATCACGCGCCACCGCATGTTGGACGCCGGAATCTTTGAGAGTGATTACCGTTGCTCCTGCCCACCTCATTCTAGTATGCTCTAGTTGCGCTGTTAGCATTCCCCCGGGCAATGCCGAGGCCACAGCCATCATGCGACCTGTCACTGCACGGACCATTGACCGCTGCGCGGGCTCCTCGACGTAGGCTGTTGAGTCAACGGGCTATGTAGGTGTGTCAACGTCGTTGACACATTGAGAAATCGAGTCTGCAGTGGTGGGCCAGCTTCGTACGAGATCGTACTACTGTCGCTGAAGGTGGCGACAGTACACAGCGCCGAGACAAGAATTGTCCTGTCTGCCGTCGACGACTGCGCGATTATCGATGGGTGGCACCAAGCCCAGAGTGCGCTGTTTTATTCCAACAGATCCCCTGAATGCGCTGTGTTTGAAACCTATTTTTTTCAAACAAAATTAAAACCATACAAAATACAAGTACATCTTTTACATGCGTATCAAACTGCTGTTTGAAACAGCGTTTGAAACAGCGTTTTAAACAAATCATGTATACATCAGGGGACCCCCACTCACAACGACATTCACTCACGTAGTCGTTTCGACGCCATCTGGTACCGTATACTGGGGTTTGTAGTCGACTAACCGGCTAGGATAACCGATTCACGGAGGTAATCCAACGGCGGGTTTGCCAGGATATTTCCATTTTGGGCGAGGAGCGAGCACGAAGATGCCATTGACCGGTGAAGTAGTCGCGCTCTCGGGCAAGTTCGAGACGATGACCCGGGCCGAGGCCACCAAGCGTATCCAGGCCGCGGGCGGGTCGGTCTCGTCCTCGGTGACCAAGGCGACGACGCTCCTCGTGACGACCGCGGGCGACGAGAGCAAGAAGTACAAGGACGCGGTCGCTGCCGGAATCAAGATCTGTATGGAAGATGCTCTTGTCCAGGCGCTGGACGGAAAGGCGGCCTCGGCATTGGAGGGCCAGGTCGTCGCGCTCTCGGGGAAGCTCGCGACCATGACCCGGGCGGACGCGACTGCGCAAATCGTCGAGGCCGGCGGAACCGTGTCGTCGACGGTCACGAAGAAGACGTCGATCCTCGTTGCAGCGGACGGTACCGAAGGCAAGAAGACACAGACCGCGGCTGCGCAAGGGGTAGTCATCTGGACCGAAGCGCAGCTCGTGGCTGCGCTCTCGGGCGCCGCGCCCGCGTCGGTGGTCGTGAAGGACGAGTTTGAAGAAAAGCCAGCGGCCAAGAAGAAGCGCGCGGCCAAGGACGAAGCTGCTCCGCCCGCAAAGAAGCCTAAAGCGGAAGAGGTCAAGCCTGAGGCCGTCAAGGGTGAGACGAGCGATCCCCCGCCGGCCTTGGGCGAACGTCGCGGGGCGCGTCGGCCCGACAAGCACTTGTCAACGCGCGAAAAGTTTGAGATTTTCGACGACTACTCGACGGACCTCATGCAGACCAACATTGGCCACAACAACAACAAGTTTTACATCATCCAGCTGCTCCAAGCGACGGCCGACTCGACCTTCCACGTCTTTACGCGCTGGGGCCGCCTCGGCGAGGCCGGCCAGCAAAACCTCAAGGGCTTTGGGCGCGACGTCGACAAGGCGATTGCGCTCTTTGAGAAGAAGTTCCGCGACAAGACCAAGAACGACTGGCACCAGCGCCATGCGTTTGTCAAGTACGACCTGCAGTACCAACTCGTCGAGCTCGACGCGTCCGAGACGGGCGACGGTACGCAGCCCAAATTCCTTTTGTCTTCCTACAGAAAGCGTGTAATAGGTGGCGGCGACTCGGATGCGGCCATGGGCAAGCTGTCGGCGGCACAGATTGAGAAGGGCCAGGCGGTCCTTGCCCAGCTCAAGACGTCGTTGACGGGAAAGCCATCGTCTGCGCTCATTACGCAGCTCTCGGGGCAGTACTACTCGCTGGTTCCGACGTTGTCGGGCCGGCAACGACCGCCACCGCTCAACACGCTCGCGCTCGTCGAAGAAAAGGAAGCGCTCCTTGGTACGCGGCCACTTGCTGGTTGACTTCTCTCTCATGTCGGCGATGCTTTAGACTTTTGGCTGCGCATGGGCTTTGATGACATGGAAGAGCAGACGCACTTGGCGCCGATTGAAGGGCTTATGGACTTACCGAAGCCCGAGAACCTCGGGATTGCGGCCGCCGGTATTTGTCACGCGAGCGCCGTCAAGCAGTGCCAAAGCCGGGGCCAACAGCTCGTGGTATCGAACGCTGGTGCGCCGGTCAAGCCCATGGACAAGGTGCGTCGTCCATATGCGATAGGGCTCTGTGGCTCACAGTTGAATTGTGCTAGGACCTCTATGGCTCGATCGTGCTGTACACGGGCAACTGGATCTACGCGGAGCTCAACAATGCCCTCCGGTATGTCCCTGCTACAAGTGATTACTTATTTCACTCACATTTGTGCAGATCGGAGAACCGGGCAGCGGTCAAGCGCTATTTCAAGTATCTGCGCCTCTTTATGGAGGCCATGAACTACATGCCCAAGAAGTCGCAAGTGCTCTGGCGTGGGGTACATACACGTGTCTATGTATCACGGAGGCTCATAGACCTCTGGTGTAGATCAGCGTCGACCTTTTCGACCAATACGAGGAAGGCAAGGTCATTACGTGGTGGGGCGTCAGCAGCACGACGTCGGACGAGAACGTGGCCCGTGGCTTCATGAACAGTTGCGGTGGCAGCTGCACGCTCCTGAGCGTCCGGTGCACGACGGCGATGGACATCTCAGTGCTCTCCATGTACCCGAACGAAAAGGAGTGCCTCCTCGCGCCCGGCACGCAGTTCAAGGTCCTCAAACGGGCGCGCAAAGGACGTATCGCAGAGATTGAAATCGAAGAAGTCGGCCGCTGCATCTAATAGTGTGGACTGTGTACCTAATATACATGGATTTGTTGTCGAATGCTCGGGCGAGGTGTTTGCGCGCAGCATTGCCCCACACTTGGGTGACACTAGTGTATCTTGGCTACGGATCTATCCCTCGGGCTGGTTGTTTCTCACAGCAGCAGGTTCTGTGGACCAGGCGGTTGACACAAATTTGCCGCCAAGCTACTAGCGCCAGCTTGTCGGGTACCAGATGCCGAGCTCCAGTAAATGCGCATCAGTGTTCTTGTAGTCCATGTTGACCATGCACACATCGACGATAGACGATCGAGAACCTCCTTTTACCACCGCTAGAAACAACGGCGTGGACGAATCTGTGGGCCGTTGTGAAAAGATTTGTTGCGTCTGGCCATGGCGTCTGGTCGTACAGTGTAATTCGTTTTATGAAATCATGTAGGTACAAATTGAACTGCTTGTGAATCATGGCCACCGCTGCGATATCTGTTGCATGCCTTGTTCAACTTGCGTTCCGTGCAAATGTAATTGGACAGTCGCCATCACGCACAAGCTACTAGAGTAGCACACCATCCATACTAATGAATCCAACCATACCAGTGCAGTTTTGCTAGACCTAGTGCAGACACCGTACTAGTACAGTAATCACCCGTGTCGCGTGGTCATGTCATCGGGTTTTTAGCGCTGGCTCGGTGGCGCTTTTCTCAAATCGCTAAACAATCGCGTTCTAGTATGCTCAGACGACGCAACTCACGTCGCTCCAAGCCTCGATGACAGCGACAAACGGTCGTACGCTGCTTCTTCAAGCCTTCTCCTTCATCGGGTCCATAGCCTATTTCATGGGCATAGAAAGGTCACCACTTTGGTCTACATACCGAGCAGATGTTGGACGTGTACAGTTACTCTTACATACATTCCGCTGTCCATCACCATCACTCCGTGTCCAACAGCCTCTGCCGCCGCCGCAATCGTGGACAGCACCGTGTAATGCTTGGCACGTTAGCACTCGTGACGTTATAATTCAATTTGCCTCGTCCATGACGCACCTTGGGCCGCTCCTGCGCAAGAACTGGGCGCTCAAGCGGCGGCATCCGATCGCTGTCTTCTTTGAGATTGTGCTCCCGACGGTGTTTTTGATCCTCTTGTCGCTTCTCAAGTCGAATTTCGACGGCGGCGATCCGCTTAAGGTCACCAAGCCCGGGTACGATGGCAGTACGCTCTTTGGCACCCACAGCGCTCGGGAACCGCCGGTGCAAGCGCTCCTCTACAAGTGGTACAACGATGGTTCGTACTACTCGTACTCGTACGACGCCACGCTGCTCTCGCAAGAATGCAAGAATCACCTTCTCCTCTCTGCACCGAAGCCGTCGGTCGCGTGTCGCCCGCCGCAGCTTGCGATCGTACCCGATACGGCGTTCACGCGCAAGTACTTTTTCGGGGCGCTCAAGCAGTGGTACCCGTCGGTGAGCGTCCCACTGTCGACGAACGGGTCGGTGACGCTGCCGGGTCTCTCGGACGCGTCCGTGGTGTTTTTCCCTTCGGAAACAGCGCTCGAGGCGTACATTCAAGGCAGCAACTACGGTAACCAGACGGACGCGAATGGCGCTGCGCTCAACGCCAACTCGTACGACCCGATCGTGGCCGCGGCCATTGTGTTTGCGGACGCGCCGAAAGACGCGGCCATTGGAACGCCCGTGTCGCTCAGCTACAACCTGCGCTTCCCCGTCAACAACTACGGCGACGGTGCGAGTGCGGTCCCGACGACAACCGGCAGTTACTTCCCGTACCGGACCTACGTGTCGTCGACGGCCCGCAATACGTACACGGAGCGCGGTTTCTTCACACTGCAGACGCTCATCACGCGCTTTGCGACGTGCCGCCCCGACTGGCATGCATCGAACCAAACGACGACGGGTCAATGCCAGCAACCGACCGCAGTTGGCCCGGCATCGCTCGATGCCACCAACAAGGATGTATGGGTGGACGCGCTCTCGAGCTTGCGCCAGAACGGCAAGTCGCTTGTGCCGCAAAACTGGTCGTCGCTCCCGTCGACGACGACGACAACATTGCTCGCGCCGCTGCGCTTGCAGCCGCAACCGCATGTGCTCGGTGCCGGCCTCGACATGCCGGGGCGCGGCATCACGGAGCAGTGGTTCCTGGGCGGCGACCGGTCGACGATGCCGATGTTTCTGCCGGTGACGTTCCTCGTCTTTTCCGTGCTCGTGTTTGGCCGCCTCGTGACGAGCTTGGTGCTCGAGAAAGAGACGCGCGCCAAGTCGTACATGCAGGCGCTCGGGCTCTCGCCGACGGCGCTCGTCATGACGTGGTACATGACGTACGGCATCGTGCTCTTCCTTGGCGCGTTGCTCCAGATGGGCGTCGGGTGCTGGACGCTCTTTACGTTTTCGAGTCCTCTCGTTTTGCTATTGCTCTACGTCTGCTTTGGGCTTGCGTGCATTGCGTTCGGGTACTTTCTCTCGAGTCTCTTTGCGTCGGCCAAGACCGGCGCCAACGTCGCCCAGCTCGTCTTTCTGATCTGCGCCGGTGTCTCGCTCGCGTTCAACGACAATTCGTCGGCTTCTATCAAGGCAGTCGCGTCGCTTTTGCCGCCGACGGCCTTTACGTTTTCGATGCAAGTCATCATGCAAGCCGAGTACATTGCCACCGGCATCTCGCTCGGAGCGATCGGGAGCTTTGAACACCGACAGTACTCGCTTCGCACCGGGTTTGGCATGCTCTTGGTCGACTTTGTGCTCTTCACGCTGCTGGGTGCGTATGTCGAGCAGCTCAACGACGGACACCCGTGGTACTTTCCATTCACAAAGCACTACTGGGCTTCGGCGGCCATCGGCACGACGGCGACGTCGACCAAGGCGACGGCCACGAATGGCAACATGGAAGCCGTCGACGCGCAATTGCAGGCGCAAGAAGCCGACGGCCGTGCGCTGCAAGTGCTCGGTCTCCGCAAGACGTTTGGCAAAAGCAAAGTCGCGGTCGAGGGCCTTCACATGGCCATGTACGAAGGGCAGATCACGTGTCTTCTTGGTCACAACGGCGCCGGCAAGACGACGACGATCTCGATGCTCACGGGCATGCTGCGCCCGACGTCCGGGTCGGCGTCGTTCCGGCACTTGGACTTGGACAAAGATCTCGCCGCGCTCCGCAAGTACCTGGGCGTTTGCCCGCAGCATGATATTCTCTACGACGACCTTACGGTCCGTGAGCACTTGACGTTCTACGCTAGCATCAAGGGCCAGTTCGATATGGCCGTCGTCGATGCCATGTTGGACGACGTCGGTCTCACGGACAAGGCCCACGTCAAGGCCAGTGCGCTCTCGGGTGGTATGAAGCGCAAGCTCTCGGTCGGCATCGCGCTCATTGGCGACAGTGCGCTCGTCTTCCTCGATGAGCCGTCGTCGGGCATGGATCCGTACAGTCGCCGGAGCATGTGGGATCTCCTGCTGCGCAACCGCGCGGGGCGTGTCATGATTCTCACGACGCACTACATGGAAGAAGCCGACGTCCTCGGTGACCGCATTGCCATCATGGCCGACGGTGCGCTCCGGTGCGTCGGCTCGTCGCTCTTTTTGAAGAACCGGTTTGGCGCTGGCTACACGCTGACGCTGGTCAAGGCGCACGCTGACGTCGACATTTCGGATCTCGAGCGTCTCGTGCACGCGTTTGTGCCGTCGGCGGCGCTGCACTCGAACGTCGCGGCCGAAGTTGCGTTTCAGCTGCCGACGGCCCGCGCATCGGCGTTTCCCGGTCTCTTCCGCGCCCTCGACTCGCAGATGACCGACGTTGGCGTCACCTCGTACGGTGTCTCGGTCACGACGCTCGAAGATGTTTTTATCAACGTCACGACGGCAACGGCGACACCCGGCGACATTGTTGTGCCGATTCTCGAAGACTCGGGCGTGCCGTCCGACCGGGAAAACGCACCGTCCGTGGTGAATGGCCGCCGGAGCCAGGTGGTGGCTCTTCTCAAGAAGCGCTTCCATGTCGCCAAGCGGGACAAGAAGGCGCTCTTCATCGCGGTGCTGCTCCCGGCGATCCTCCTTGCGATTGGCTTTGGGACCATGAAGTTGATCTATGCCAGTACGTTGGAAGCTGCTGAGCCGCGCCTTCCGCTCGTGACGACCGAGTACCCGGCGCGGACTGCGCCCTACTACTGTCTCTATGACGTCGACGGCGGTTGCGCTCGAGTCTTGAGTCGCTTCTCGGGCGTCACGACGAAACACGTGCCGACGTTCTCGACGCCGCTCTTTTCATCGTCGAGCCCCAACGTCTTTGGTGCGACGTACTCGCCGCCGTCGTTCAACGTCTCGAGCGCCGACGCCACCGTGCTCCGGTTCGCGCAGGCGCTGCTCGACGAGACGTCGACGCAAGCGCAAATGGGCGCGTACGTCGTTGCCGCCGACACCAACATGTTTAGCTACAGCGTCTTTTCCAACTCGAGCGGTGACCACGCGTCGGCCATCTACAAGGTGCAGATGGACCAGGCGCTGCTTCGGTCGCTCGCCGGTACCAACGACATTTCGCTTACCGTCGCTTCGTACCCGCTGCCGGCGTCGCGCGCCCAGACCGCGCGGAGCAAGGCACGGCTTGCGCAGTGGGGCCAAACGATCGGGTTCACGGCCAACCTCTTCTTCCTCGTCGCGTTTGCTGTCTTTCCGGGCGCCGCCATGACGTTCCTTATCAAGGAGAAGCAGCTCACGGCCAAGCACCAGCAGCTCGTGTCCGGCGTCAAATTGCACTTGTTCTGGGCCGCCAACTACATCTGGGACCTCGGTTCATACCTCGTGCTCTTTTTCTTGGCACTCGCCATGATCCAGGCGTTTGGGGTCACGGCGTTTCAAAACTCGGCGTCGACGGTCGCCCACGCGTTTGATGCCGTCGTCGTCGTCTTTGGTCTCCTCGGGTTTGCGCTTGTGCCGCACACGTATCTCGTGTCGTTTCTGCTGCAAGAACACGCGTCGGCGCAGAACACGGCGATCCTCTTCCACTTGGCGACCGGTCTCATCCTCTTCATCGTGCATTTGCTCCTCAACGGTATGTTTGAGACGGACCTCTCGCCGGGCTTTTGTCTCTTCCCGCTCTTTGCCGCCGGCCACGCGCTCGACAAGATCTCAACCGCCAAGAACGTCACGGGTGTCGCCGCCGACGGCTCGCCGACGTTTGTCCGCGCCGAGGCCTTTGACGGCGCCGTTGCAGGCAACGACATGCTCTATCTCGCGGCGACCGCCGTCGTCTTTACATGTCTCGTCCTCGTCGTCGAGTTTGTTTCGACCAAGTCGCTGCACAAGAAGGATGCATCGGCGAAAGCAACGGGAACGACATCGGTGCTCGACGTCGACGTCCAGCGGGAACACGACCGGATTACTGCGCTTGCGTCCGACAAGGCGTCGATCAACGCCCACGCGGTGGTCACCCACGGCCTCCAAAAAGTCTACGCGAACGGATTCCTTGCCGTCCAAGACCTCTCGGTGGGCCTTCCGAAGGGCGAGTGCTTTGGGTTCCTCGGTATCAACGGCGCCGGCAAGTCGACGACGCTCAAGATGCTCATGGGCCAGGTCGCACCGTCGGCCGGCGCCGCGTACCTTGCTGGCTACGACGTTTATAGCCAGCAGACCGAGTCGCGCAGCCTCGTCGGCTACTGTCCGCAGTTTGATGCGCTCTTTGACACGATGACGGTCCGCGAACACTTGGAGCTCTACGCCGCGCTTCGGGGCCTCGATGTTGCCAGCGCCGCGAGCGCCGTCACGTCGCTTTTGCACAAATTGCATCTGCAGTCGTTTGAGCACGTGCTGGCGGGCGACCTCAGCGGCGGCAACAAGCGCAAGACGTCGGTGGCGATCGCGATGATCGGGTCGCCGCCCATCATCATCCTCGACGAGCCGTCGACCGGCATGGACCCGGTCTCGCGTCGCTTCATGTGGGAGCTCATCTCGGACATTTCGACGAATCAGCGTGAGTCGACGGTGATTCTGACGACCCATTCGATGGAGGAGTGCGAGGCCCTGTGCTCGCGCGTCGGCATCATGGTCAGCGGCCAGCTCGAGTGCCTCGGGAGCATCCAGCACCTCAAGCACCGGTTCGGGAACGGGCTCGTGCTCGACATCAAGCAGCATTTGCCGACGGCGTCGGACGTCGAGATGCTTGTCGCCACCTTGCCACCGTCGCTTGCGTGGGCCGACGTCGAAGCCGCGTGCACCCGCCTCAAGCAGCCCAACCGCATGGCGTTCGTCGACCTCGACCACGACACGGGCCGGCTCCTTGCGCTCGCGCTCGAGGCCGACGGCGCCGTTGACGCTCAGACGTTTGCCAACTGGTGGCTGGCCGAGGACCAGCACGACGCACTCCTCGCCCAGCTCGCCAGTGCCCACGGTCGCTTTAGCGTCCTGAGTCGCCAAGGCACGTTCGCCCGCATCCAGGTGCACGTGAGTCTGGCGCAGATCTTTGGCGTCATTGAAGACGCCAAGGCGGTGCTGCGCGTCGCCGAGTACAGTGTCGCGCAAACGTCACTCGAGACGATCTTCAACCAGTTTGCGAGCAAGCAGAAGAAGGAGGACGACCGCGTGCTCACCAAGAAAGGGTGCTGCCGCCGTCGCAAGGCACCCCCTGCGAACAGCAACTACGTCGCTGTCACCGGTCCGTAGCGACGTATTATCGCATGTATATCGACCATCATATAAGGTTGCATTTGCAAGCTCATTCCCGCCTTTTGCATCTACCACTGGTTGGGATACGGTCGATCTAGTGAGTCTAGTGAGACTTAGGTCACGGTCGAGTACGTTGCAACACCGCTACGAGCATGCTTGATGCATGCGTCGAACACTTTGGTGGTTAACGTCGTGGTTGTCGACCTCATGCAAGATGCTGCCATTGGCTTGGATATGATTTCAGCCAATCAAACACGTCCATTTCAAGCCAGCCAATCACAAGTGACCATTCCATATCTCGTCCGATGGCCACAGCGCCGGTCGCGGTCGTCTTCTCGAGCGACTACGCCCAGGCGGTCTCGCGCCTGCCGGTGCACCCGCAGCGCGAGGTCATGACCTTCTCGCTGCTGCAGCACCTGCGCCTGCTCGACCGCCTCCACGTAGTGGCGCCGACGCCAGCCACCGACGCCGATCTCGCCCGCTTCCACGCGCCCCGGTACATTGCAGCTCTCCAGAACGCGTCGACACTCTCGCTCGACGAGCAGCTCGAGTTTGGTCTCACAGACGACGCGTGTGCTTTCGATGGCCTCGAGCGCTACTGCTCCTACGTTGCGGGCGGCTCCATCACGGCGGCGACCCTCTTGACACTGACGTCGCCTGCCCGTCCGGTCGACGTTGCCGTGCACTGGGGTGGCGGGCGGCACCATGCCAAGAAGGCTTCGGCCAGTGGCTTTTGCTATGTGAACGACGTCGTGCTCGCCGTCGACGTCCTCCTCAAGTCGTCACCGGCGGCCAAGGTGCTCGTGGTCGACATGGACGTTCACCACGGCGACGGCGTCGAAGAGGCGTACTACTACAGCACACGCGTCTTTACCCTGTCGTTCCACAAGTACGCCCGCGGCTTCTTTCCCAACTCGGGTGCGCCAAGCCGCATTGGCGCAGGTCCTGGCAAACACACAAACCTCAACGTCCCGCTCGACGATGGCATCACAAACGAGCAGTTTCTCGAAGTGTTTGAGCTACTGACGTCAACGACCGTCGATGTCTTTGCACCGACGCACCTTGTGCTTGTGTGCGGCGTCGACACCCTCGGAAGGTACGACGACTGTGCTGCGTTCGGCGCTATATCCTGCACGACGTAGTGATCCGTTGGGCACGTTCAACCTCACGGCCGAGGGGGTTGGGTGGTGTGTGCAAGTGGTGCAAGAGCTGGATTTGCCGCTCTTGGTGCTTGGTGGCGGCGGCTACAATGTACCAGATGCCGCCCGGACGTTTGCGCATGTGACAGCGACGCTGCTCGGTGTCGAAGCGGACGTGCCAACGACGATTCCAGAGCACGAGTACTTTGACAGGTATAAATTGCGCACTTTCCAATGTACGGTCAACGAAAATCGGAATTGTGGAGGTACGGACCGTATTTTACGCTGCAAACCCGTCCCAACATCGGTCGCGTGAATCTCAACACGATTGCGTCGCTCGAAGCGACGTGCGCGACCGCGTTGCAGCACCTCGAGCGCACCAAAGCTGCTGTGGCTTCAAGCCAGTCCCAAAAGCGCCGGGATAACTTTTAGTTTTGTTTCAAAATATACTGGCCTATGAGGGAGGTCGAGTCGCCCACGGACTTGTAGAACACCTAGTTTTGCTGACATTGATGACAGCATATACTAACTATCCAACAAGTCTCTCTTTAATGCATGGTCGGATCGAAAATAAGAGGCGCTGACCCGCCGACCCTCGGCTTGCAACGCCTTCGGGCCTCTGACGCGCTGTTAGGTTAGTTGTAGCAAAGCTGAATAGGTTTTTGCGAAATCAAATGACTAAGCTTACCTCGCGATTTCCTTGTGACCTACTAACGACCGACTAGCGACCGACAATCGATCAACTAACGATTGACTAACTACCGACTAACTGCCGACTAACTACCGACTATCGGTCGAGCAACAATCGACTAAACGACCGACTTGTAGCTGTGTCACGACCGAGAAACGCTGTCCAACAACACAATAAGGTCATCTATCTATGTACTCGTCTCGTCGTCTTCGGCGTAGTGGTCGTTGAAGTTGAGGTCGAGCATGAGATGGTGCAAGTGGGGCGCCGACCCCGTCTTGAACATGGTCCGCAGAATCAACAGCAAATAGTGATGGCCCAGCAAAAACTTGGCCGCGAGCGCCGTCAAGACGTCCATGGCCGATGCATCTAGATACGAATTGTCATCTTCTCCATTTTCGACTTCTTCCAACGCACCGGACGACCGCTCGAGGTCCCGCAGGCACTCGTCAAAGTGGACAACGTAGTTGACCGCATGATGGAGCAACTGCACAATGTACTTGTGGATCGAACGCTGGTTCTTGCCGAGGAAGCAGCGCTCGAGCATGCGCTGCAAGCAGTTTTCGATCGCGTCGCTCATCTACAGTCCCATGAGACACCGTCCAGAACACTACTCGACGACTTCAGAGACGCGGCTAGCACTCGTTACGGCGGCTTTGACAACTTCCCAGTGCTCTTCCGACGTCTAACGCGATATAAGCACAACGACTACAGCAACGGTGTCCTACCGCGCGGGCTGCATACCCGTGGATGCTCTCCACGAAATGCAGCATCTCGGCCAGGCGCAAAACGTGTACGTGCAGCTCTTGCTTGGCCCTACACATCCGTACAAGTCGTGTCTCTATCTCTATCTACTCAGCAGCATCCATACATGAAGTAGCCCACACGGTGTCGCAGTTGGTGCTTGAACTAGTCCACGAGTATGTGCACTTGATACATTGATACTAAAAAATACCTGGACGACGTAGCGCTCGACACCTTGGAGCTAGCATAGTACGACAACGAAGATAAGATGACGAGGCATGCGTCATTTCTCTACCTGCAGGAGGAAGACCCCGAGCGCCGAGTACTTTCGCATCGTCTCTTCTTGGAAGATCAGGTGCAAAGGGGACGGAGGTGCGTAGCAAAACTCCATTTGCTCGAGCCAAGTGATGGACGGTACGACGCTGACGTCGGTGGTGGGGATGACCTGCAGCGAGAGCTCGTCGAGGCACCCGTCAAAGCGATAATTGTCCTAAAAATGTCGATGAAATTGTGAATTTTTGGCCAAATTCCGCTTGGAATGCTGTCGTACGGGGGCATGGAGAAACGTCTCTTGTAGCAGCAGGTTGAGCGTATATGGCTCGAGCCAGCGCGACCGGTGGACGTTGGAAAAGATATGCTGGAACAGGCGCGACGTCAAGTGGATCGAAGCGTCGGCCTGTTGCTGCAGCACAAACCAGCGCAACGTGTCGAGGTGCGCGATAATGTTGTACTCGGAGACAAACTGCCGCGCAAACGAATGTCCGAGGTTCAAGCACTAGACAAGTTGTCCACCGTACACAATGAAAACCCAGCGTACATGGCGGTGCAGCGGTTGCACGATGCGCTCGTTCAAGATCGATTCAAAGCAAATGGGCGGGACTAAGCACGGGTGAGCAGTCTACTTTTGCCCATTGTACGTACGCGACGGTGCGAGCGGCGCTTGCCAAGGCTCGTTGCGTGCGTCGACCGGCGGCTGACGAGGCAAGAAGCTGCTGGGGATGTCTACGCTTCGTAAGTCGACCGAGTAAAACTCGTGTTCGTACCGGCGGCCATATGATGCAATAGCGCGTCACCGAGCGTCGACTGCCCCGGCGCCTGCGCTTGCGTCGGCGGGCCCGTCGCGCTTGTCGCTAGCACCATCGGCGGCGGCAGCGACGGGGGCGGGACGTGCAGTGTGCTCGAGAGGCGGGCGTACGCATGCGTTTCGATCAACAGCCCGACGACCGACGTCAGAAAATCGGGCGCTGCGACGTCGGTTGTCGGTGTAGCGCCGATCGACGCGAGCAAAATGGTCTCGAACGCCGACATGGTCGTCGATGCTAGCTCCACGTCGGCGGGCAACGGGAGACCGCGGACGTAGTCGTAGAGCGCACTCAAGTACGGTTGGAGCGTCGACTCGAACACGGTTAGAAGTAGTGTATACGGGCGTGGGAGGCTAAGTACCGAGTACTGTTCGAGGAGCCGCGCGAGCCCACGGAGAAGCGAGGCCGCGACATCCGGTAACCGCGGCGACGCTTGCCCCAACGGCTCGGTCAGCAGCGTCGTTGTCCACTCGAAGAGCCAGCGGAGCTCTTCTAGCGACGTCTCATGGGCGGCCAGCGTCGCCAGCAAGGTCGGCGACGTGGTATCTGCTTGAAAGAGGACGAGCGCGCGGCGAAACGTGCGCACCCACTGCTGCAGTGCATGGCCAAAGCCTTGCAGCGTCGAGCAGCCATCGAGACGCGTCAAATGCCTCCCAAGGCCGTCAAGAAAGCCCACGGACGACGCGGCCGACGCGAACCGGAGCAGCAGATTGTGCAAGCTGCCTGGTGACAGGTGCGAGACCGCGAGCGTCCGACCGACGGCGCTGAGCTCAAACTGCACGAGCTGCATAGAAGCCCAGAAGCCGTGGCGGGCAATGTAAGGACACGTCGACGGCAGCGTCGACGAGAGCGAATACGTCGTGGACGGGACACCGAGGAGTGCGGCGATCGCGTCGGCGACTAGGTCGGCCTCGGAAACGACCGTTTGAACAAGCGCGGGGAGTTGGAGCTCACGCAGCGTCTCGCAGTATTGTGTGTAAAAGAGCCAGGGTTTGTGGACGCCGTAGGTCTCGGGCGCGGCCACCGGCCCGGGCGCGTCCGATGGCGAGAGCTCTGGGACCTCGTTCGTTGCTCGGGCGCGTGACGCATCGTTCGGAGGTGGCGGCGCGACGGGCAGGTGGAGGCGCTTGATCCGTGCGGGCTGCGTCGGCGCTGACGATGGCGTATCGTCGTCGGACCACGCACTCTCGTCGTCGTCGCTGTCATTGTGCTGGAACCAGTCGTCGTCCAACGTCAGCTGCTTGAGATCCTCGACGAGCGCGCGCGTGGCTTCTTTGGCGCGAGCGCGCGCTTGGTCGGCCATCGTCCGCCGGGACGCACCGCCGACGCGAATCGCTTCAATGTCATCGAGGTCGGCCTCGGTGAGCGCGGTGGGGGCGGTCGCGAGGTGCAAGAGCATCGCCGTGATCTCGGGCGAGATCTGCAGCCCCATCTTGGCGTCATTCGAGCCAAAGAGTACGTCGGCGAGCCGCTCGGCATGGCGGTCGCGGTGGTGGAACTGCAGCGTCTCAATGAGACCCCACGCACGCTGCTTGACCTGGCTCGGGTTCACGTCCAGGTAGCTGTGGGCATGGAGGCTGCGGATGTAGTGGTCCACGAGGAGCTCATCGACGTCGGCGCTCGTCGCATCCAGGCGACCGACCAGGGCGCGGACGTCGGTCCGCCACTCGGCGGTCCATCTCGGCGTGGCCATTATGGTGGCGTGCGGTAATCCGCATGCATTATCCGGAAGATTTGGGCCAAACCCCATTTGTCCCACCTACAACCGTTTGTCCCGACGGCCTTTCTGTTTGTCCCAAATGTGTGCTGGCAGCCTCTCAATCGACCAGCGAGGAGAACGAGATAAGCGGACTCATCCAGAAGACACACGAGTAGGTATTACAGGGTAGCCGAAGCTCTACTTGACAGGGGCGTACTGGGCTTGCTTCTTCTTGTCCATGTAGCGCTTCAAGAAGCCAAGCGTCGCGAGGAGGATGACGGCAAGGATGAGGAAGAACCAGAGGAAGCTAAAGCCGCCATCCGCATCCGTGTCGCCCGTGAGCGCGTGGCCGCCGTTGGTGTTGGTCACAATCGGCGCCGGCGTCGCGATCGGGCGCGGCGTACCGACAGCCGCAATCACCTCTTCCGGCGTAGCATGCAGCGCGAACGTGTTGACATAGTTGGTGTCGGCCTTGGTCGCGGTCGCCTTGTTGCTGGTCGCGTTGAGCGTCGCCGGCACGTCGTGGACGTAGGCGACAGTGCCGGAGCCCGTGACCGTCGTCGTGAGCGTGCTCAGGACGTCGACGAGCGCACCGCCGACGCCACCGAGCGTGACGTCCGCGTTGTCGCAGACGATGGCGCCGGCGTACACGTTGCCCGTGCCCGTGCTTGTGATCGTGTGGTTACCGCAGACGCCCGTAGGGAGGAAGTTAATGTTACCGGCCCCCGAGATCGTCGACGCGACAACCGGCGCGTCGATGCGGTTGCCCTTGTAGAAGGCGCTGCCCGAGCCAGCAATCTTGGTCGTGAGCACACCCGGAAGAAGCTCGGACGTCGTCTCGAACGCGACCGCGCCGCTGCCGTGGTGGTTGACGTTGACCGCCTGCGCGACGAAGCGACCGGTGGTCCACTGGATGTCGCCCGACCCGGACGCCTCAATGTTGGCGTAGCGCAAGAGAAGCTCGTCCGTCGAAACGAGCAAGCTACCGGCGCCCGACGCCGCGAGCGTGACGTCTTCGGTCGTAAAGAGGACACCGGGCTCGACGATGCAGTCGCCGGCGCCGGCGCACTCGATGGCGTTGAAGAGGCCCGGCGGCGCCTGCACCTGGGTGATGAACTCGAGCTCCGGCGACGCCGTAAAGCCGGGCGTCGACACGGTCAGCGTCGGCGTGCTCACGTCCGTGGCGAGGAGCATCGCGTCGAGCGCCGCCTGCGAGCTCGTGGTCGTCGTGATGCGGAGCGACTTGGCGTCCGACGAGACCGACACGAAGCCGTTGCCGGGCAGCTTGAGCTTAAGGCCCGAGAGCGAGGTCGAGTCCAAGGTCCACGTGTGCGTCACCGTCGTTGTCGTGTTGGCAGCCATCGTCGTCGGCGTGGTCAATTCGAAAATGACCCAGTCACTTCCTGCACCCATCGACCGGATACGAGCGAATCATCCGGATACGATGAATCGTGGCTTTTTCGCAGCAGCGTCGCAGCGCCCGATCACCTCGGCAATTCGCCATCGTCCTCAAAGTCCATATCAAAGTAGGTACACGTATATACCCTAATCCACGATAGCATTCAACCATATACCTCATCTCACGCTTTTTTTGGAAATGCCATCCCATACATTGATGCTCGTGGAAAAAAAGGTGGTAGGCAGTGCCTGCGCAGCCGCCCCACCACGATGTGCCACCGCCGTGTCCTTGAAGCGCTACTGGTCATCGAGGATAACTCGCCAGTTTGGAGAGCACCCCGCGTTCTTGTCGATGATAAAGCTGCACGCAAAGGGCTCATTTTGTTGGCTGCAGCACAGCCGCACGTTTGATCGGGTTCCATACCGTTGTTGTACAGTACCCTGCACAAACGCCCGACGTCATTGACAGCAGCACTGTAGTATAGTGTACAATACCATGGGTCAATAATTGACCCATGACAATACCAAGGGTCAGTACCACAAGAAAGGGTCAATAAGCTCCTTAAACAGCTTATTGACCCTTTCTTCTTGGCGTGCAGCAAAGTCTGGCATTGCTAGTCGTACCGTCATGCGTGTGCTCGCGTGTGAGCTCGCACGTATCCACGACACGGCATATTGTGCTTATTGCATATCTTAGCCCACTAAGATGGTGCTAGGCTTGCATCCACTAGGTGCTGGCGTCACCGACTGGTCGCCTAGACGTAGCTGCTTGATGCTCGCGGGCAGTGTATCTTGGGCAACGATATTCTAGAATACTCGGACATGCATGCTTCGAGTGCGCGTGAGAAGTGACCGCGGGGAGCTTTACCAGTGGAGTGACTTTGCGAATGGCCGAGCCATGATGGACCTCACACGCTACAACAGGGAAAGTGCTTGAGAACCCGGAGCGGCCGTTGATTTATCGCGATCTGCTGGTCGACGCTGGCCGAGCTGGCTCACCGCCCCGCACACCAACTCGAAGCATGTCCAACGTCGGGCCCTCAATCAATGAATCCAGCAAGCTGTCGTCGTGTTGGTGACGATGACGGTTTCAAAGGATCTATGGCGGGTGCGGCAGCATGGTGCGCAAGAACGACGTCGCAGTGCTAGCGAGTGTCATGGCTCATTATAGAGCTACGTGGGCGAGACAAAGGACCAGCTGTGGCATGGCCAAGGCAAACCCCTCTGCGCACGCGTGGACAATTGTGGAAGTAGGTCCAGGAAGCGATCGCCTTGCTGTGGCTGCACGCACTAGACCATTATTCGTGATACACCCGGTGATATGTCGTCTTGCGCAGACTTTCCCCTTCCATCTCCACGATCTCGTCGTGCTTGGTAGGTTGAAAGGCAAAGTGGGACAGGCGGCCAATCAAATCCCAGTGAATTTTTCGATAAGCCAATCAGATCCAAGACTGGATCCGGCCTCGGAATCGCAAACACGACCACATCGAGTTTGGGACTCGACAATCATTGCATGCGGTCCACAGCAACAATTGATGTCATTTGTACACTATGTCCTGCCCCATGTCCATGCTTTGGAAGAAGGGCTGCTGAATACAAGTGGAAGAACACACCAAAATATTCTCTTATCTCTATTCATTTTGCCTCAACACTAGGGCAATGGTGCCGACGCCAACTAGCACGACCCAAGCAAGACGATTACGACGAGTCCTTTCGGATCGTCGGATCCTTGTGTTCATCGTAATCGCGCGACTCGTAGTCGACGTGGACAAACGCCCGCTCGACCGCATCAAGCTCCTCGACCTTCTTCTGGAGCGCGAGACTAATGTCGTGCGCGTCACCGACCGTCATCGACTTGGGCATGACGACTTCAAGCTCAACCTAAGGTACAATGTGTCTTAGGATTCTCGAAAAGGAGGTCGGGATACCAAAAAGTTGTTGCCAAAATGGTACGCGCGGACAATGTCCGACTGCATATCGGGATGGTGCGAGTCGGCAATCGCATGGATGCGCTGAATGAAATCTTCGTCGGCCTCTAGCAGGAGCGTTCGACGCCGTTGAAACCACAGCAAAAGACCACGTACGAATGCCCACAAGCCGGTCGACTTGCTCTTTGCCCGTCTCGAGCCAGCTCCACGTAATGTAGATCGAGATGCAAATGGCGCCGATCGGGTCGAGGTACCACGCATCAATGTTGTAGTGCGCAATCATCGACGTCGTGACGGCCACACCGTTGCTAAAGACGTCGTTGCGGTGGTCCTACGAGCGGCTAAGAATGACAAGCTTAGAGGCACAGTCTACCTGGGCGAGCGCCGCGGCCGACGGCGACACGTGGGCGATTTGCGCGCAGAGGAACCAGAGGATGAGCTTGACAACGATCGCAACCGCCAGCACCGCGATCGTCAAAATGGACATGTCGAGCTCCGGAACGTGGCCGTTGAAGCCTTCAATGAGCGTCGCTATCGACTTTTGGACCACCTCGAGCGCTAACAGTATCAAGATGAGCACGATGGACGTGTTAGAGGGATGATGGTACGCACAGGCCATGCCCATCAGCGTCGCCGAGACAACGACCGCAATCGGCTCGAGGCGGCGGCGGCCAGCCGGGTAATCGGGGCTTGGCGTGTGCATGTAGCGGTCGGTAAACCAGAAGAGGCCTTGGGACGTCAGATCGAGAATCGAGTCGACGAGCGACGAGAGCACGGCGAGCGAGCCACTGACGACGGCGGCGTACGTCTTGGCGATCGCGAGGATGATGTTGATGACGATGGACGCCGAGATGGCCAGCTGCACACGCTGCGACGTGGCCTGCGGAAGGCAGCGGACCTCGTTGGCGTCTTGCTGGTGCAGCAGCGAGTGGGCGACGGCCGACCGCGCCGGGCGGTCCTGCTTGATGTCGAGCGCGACAGACCCGTAGTCGCTCAGCGTCATGGTTCGATTTGGCAACTGGACCCAGTCAAACTCGAATTCGTTTCTCCACCTCAAAATAGTGTTGCTTTTCTATTTCGGGGTAAAAAGGACCGCTGCGTCAACATTGGACGGCGTGCACTGTCGCCCGCGCACAAATACACAAAATTCGCGTGTCGATGGCGCGTCATCGTCGAGAGACCGAGCCGACCGTCCCATGTTTATTACCTGGTCTACCACGAGTCGCCCTGCTGGAGTGCGTCCATAAAATAGTGTAATGTATCTACTGCCATCGTCGCTCCACCTCCGGCTTCCTACCGGATGGAGCTGGACGAAGGGTGTCGAACAAACCGCCGAGATCCACGACTCTCTGTTGGGGCACAAATAATGCTATAGAAAAGACGTTTGTTGGTGGCCTAATAGGAGCACAGGGTCGGTGATCTTGCCCTCGATTCATGGTTGCGATGACAAGTATCCTTGCCAGTAGCCAGTGGCCAGTAGCCGTTCCTGGCGATGCCAGCTGGTGACGTCGGCACCGCTCGATTCATCGTATGGCCGTGCTGCGCAGTATAAATATGTATGGCGCGGGACGAATCATTCCACGTCGTTGCTTTTCGCTGGCGGTGTTTGTTTAATCGAACGAGACTAGCCATTGCTAAAAGCTCTTTGTTGATCAAAGAACGTCTACCAGTCGAGTACTAGCTCCTGCTGGACAAGAACAAGTTCACTTGCTTCGAGCGTGCGGTGTTCAATTGCGCGCATTAGACTCGCCACGTCAATGGCTACGGGTGGAATTGACTACCCAGAAAGAATGTTGTTGAGAGTTATGGAGCGCTTGTAGACGGTTGACCAGGCGTCCTCCACGTGACGACTTCGACCAGATGCGACAAGGACATGGCTAGAATGGGACTTGGAACGGCAAGAGCTCGACTTCTGCACCGGCGCTAGAAATACGTGCGATCGGAAACAACGCGCCGACGTCACCGGCTTCGACCCGCAGCGTCATGGCGAGCGCTGTGCCGTTGATGCTGAACTGGATGCAGCGTCGGTCGCGATCATGCTGCAGTAGAAGAACTGCAATGCCAGTCGGGGTGCTTGGATCGAGGCCGCTCGGCACGCGTTTCGTGAGTTGCGAATAGACGTCGTAGGTCTCGCAGTTGAAGTAATACCCGCGCGGTGCGCTGCCGTAGCGGTGGATGTGGGGAGAAAAGGTCTTGAGTGTCGAGAAGCCGACTTCGATTTTGGCGCCGAGCCGGACGCGAACGACAAACGTCTTTTCAAGAGTTGTCGCCAGCACGTTGCTCCAGCCGGTGGTCGTCTGACGCACAATGGTGTCGCGCTCACGCAGCTTGAGAAAGACAGAGCACTGGCGCGGGTCCCAGTACACGTTGTGTAGTGGCGCCGCCGGGGGCGCCGACGGCGTCGGTTGTGGACACTCGATCTGGAGGTAGTCGAGCATCTCTCGGAGCTCGGCCTCGTCCGCTTCGGAGAGGCCATCCAACGGCAAGAACCCCGTTCGGAGAAGCTTCATGATACGTGGAAACGTGCTTGGGTCCAAATCCAAGAAGTACTCGCCTACCGGGGATCGTCGTCGGTACCAGTTGCCACAGATATAGTGCAGCGGTAGATAGCATTGTATTACCTTTCTCGTTCGGTAGCCAGTGGTCGGACGAGAGCATCGCGTCGAAGTAGCTGCCTCGCGTACGCAGCAGCGTCTCGCGTGCGGTCGTGAAGAGCGTGCCGCCGACGTTGAGCGTGACGACCTTGGCTCGCTCGCTCGTCGTTGTGCTCTGTTGCTGGTGACGAGACGCAGTGTGGCCGCATGGTGATGGAAGCTTGGAGAGGAGCTCGAGCTGGCTGGCGACCCGGGCTTCCTGAAGGCGCAGCGCCGAGTCGCGAGTAGCCAAGCTCGTTACGATCGCGTGCATCTCGTGCGTGATGTGCTGTAGCGCTTCGGTCGTCTCGGGCGACGCAGTCAGCGCCGCAATGGACGCGTGCAGAGCGGCAAAGTCGACCCCGTCCGGCTTGTTGCAACTCACAACCATCTTTATACTAGCCGGAAGGAGGACGGTGTTGCTTGTCCAGCGCGCCTGTCCAACTCCAGTACGTGTCCAGATTGCCATTTATTTTCAGAGGTCCTCTCTTTTCATATATCCATGACGTGGCAGCGCAAGCGTATGGGACTGCACAAACCAGCAGGAGACAGCTTAGGGCCAGCATACTTTATAAGTTGTCGCGCTGTCATTGATAACGCAAAAGCAGTTCGTTCATAGACCATGTACGGTATATGTAGGTTATACAGGCAGTAGCTTGACAGTCGCCCAGCTCGAATCGAAGCGCAGACACGGGTACAAGGCGACATCTTTCGGGACGTTGTGCAGCCCCGCAGCGAGAGGGACGCCGTCGACAGCAAACGAAATGCGTTCTTGGTCCTTGTGCCACGTCACTTGGAGAAAAATTAAATTCATCAGCTTCGCTGCAATGACAGGAATCTCCCGTGGCTCGGTATGCGACCGCACGGTGCCATTCGTACAGCGAAAGAACCAGCCCGGCGGCGTCTTGCGCGGGTCTTGAACACACGCAAACTTGTGCAACGGCAGAAACCCGACTTCGACATTACTCCCGAGACGGACGAGGACTCCGAAGGTCGTCGCTGGCATCGAGGCAAGCACCATGCCATTTGCGCGCACAGCTTTGGTGTTTGCGACCATAAAGTCGTTTTCCAGGGTGATGGTCTCGGTGCAGTGTAGTGGGTCCCACTGCAATCGCGGCGTCTCCACCGGCACTGGCGGCGCGGATGGCGCTGGCAGCGGCCACTCGATCTGGAGGTAGTCGAGCATCTCGCGGAGCTCGTCCTCGTCCGTATTCGAGAGCCCACTGAGGTTGAGCGTGCCCGTGCGAAGGTACTTGATCACTCGCGCAAACGTACTCGCGTCCAGGTCCAAAAAGTACTCGCCTACCGAGAGTCGTTGTCAGTACCTTTCACCACAGATATACTAGTAGATGGCGTTGTACCTTTTTCATTTGGCAGCCAGTGATCACATGAGAGCATTGCGTCAAAGTAGCTGCCTGGGATCCGCAGCAGCGTCTCGCGCGCTGTCGTGAAGAGCGTGCCGCCGACGTTGAGTGTGATCGTCTTGGCGTGCGTGGGGAGTTGATCGACGGCCGTGTCCGCGTCTGTTTCGTGTCGATGGTTGTCGGCCTTGAGCTCTGCCAGCAGCTCGAGCTTGGCGTCAAGGCGTGCCTCTCGCTCTCGCAGCGCTGCTTCGTGCAGTCGCAGCGCTTCTTCCTTGGTCGCTACGTCCGACGCAATCGCAGACAACTCGTCGACGAGCTTGCATAGGGCGTCCGACGTTGTCTCGTCCAGTGCCGCCACCGAGGCTTGTAGCGCAGCGCAGCGGTCGTGCAAGGTCGGGCTGTCCACCATCGTGTCAAACGTTGAAATGCCAGTCATCCGGATAAAGATGACATACCGGATACAGATGGATTCCGTCACCGCGCCTTGGTGCTATGTCTGCGCCGCCTCGATACTTACATAACGCAGCGACCAGCAATATGTCTTATGCGCACACACTCGCACAGACTTGTTGGTCCTTCTGAAGCACCCTGTATTCGTGTACAAGTCCACGCTTCTATAGTTTATATATTTAGTGCAAAGGTAGAAATGACCCTAAATTGTCGCCACCAAACTGTGTTCTTGCACAGGAAGGAGCCGCACGTTGGCTCCAGAGGAGAAGAGACGCACGATCGGATACAAGTCGACGTCACTAACGACGTTGTGCAGGCTCATCGGGAGCAGTACGCCGTCGACCGCAAACGAGATGCGCTGCTGGAGGCGGTGCCACGTCACTTGAAGCAGCGCAAGTCGCTTCACCGTGGTGTCGACGAGGCTAATTGACGCTGCTTCGTCGTGCGAGAACACTCTCCCGTCTGCACAGCTGAAGAACCAGCCGCGGGTCGTACTCTTGCGGTCAGGCACCGGCGGCGTCTCGTCGTCAAGTGGAAGGAACCCGACTTCGGCATGAGACCCAAGCATAATGAGCACGGCAAAGGTCGACGCTGGTTGCGACGCGACGACGATGTCCCAACCATAGGGCCGTGCGCGGCAAGCGTATTGTCGTCCGCAAGTTGAATCTTCGTGGAGCACCGGCGTGGGTCCCACTGCAGTGGCGCCATCGGTGCTGATGGCACGGGCGCCGGACTCTCGATCTGGATCTGGAGGTAGTCGAGCATCTCTCGTACATCCGCTTCTTGGTTGATCGTGAGTCCCTCGACATCCAGTGTGCCCGTGCGAAGCAGCTTCATGACGCGTGGAAACAGGGTTGGATCCAAGTCCAAAAA